TATCTTGCATAATGTTTATTCTTCTTTGGAGCAAAATAATCATTCAGTTTCTTCTTTAACTTCTCATATACATCCATACGTCTGTCTACGGGGTCAGGTGTACTTTTCTCTGATCTTGAAATCTCTTTACCTCTGTAAATAATCATTGCGTCCTTTTTGTCCTCGGGATCTATAATGCGAAAATATCGGAACTTCTTTCGATTCCTTCTAACCATTCCTCCTACTGACTTCCCGTGGCGAGATGATCCTCCGACGGTGTGAACGGTAAAGTTCTCAAATTTCTGTTTTCGGTCACAACTGTAATTCTTTCAGCCATGTTCCTTCTTTATGCTTTTAAATCTTTTCTTTCAATCGCTTTTCATCTTCTTTTACCCTCGTCGCCAAAGAAATAACTTAGGCATGTATAAGACAACAAAATTAACAGTGGAACGTATATTAGAATCTATATAAGAACGCATAACAAAGTAACCAAGGATGTGACGTTACATACGGAACACTAAAGTATAATGTTACGTTACGCGCAATTAAAGTCATTACAACTTTTACAAAAATCTTCTCGAAAACTTCTTGTACAACTGGATACCAAACTTGAGCACACACCAACACTGACGGACAACTCCTTATAGAAGTGGTTGCCCTCAAATGATGATGTTTACCAATTTTTTTGAAATTTTGGCTATTATCTTTAAAACTTTGATAGATAACGTGGAACTGTAATGGCAAGAATGTTCAGCAAAGTTATAAACCAGGCGATTTTTTACCGATTTTTGTGGTTTTATTTTTGCGGAAACTGGAGTACATAGGAAGAAACTAAACGTCGAAAATGATCAGCAGGACAAGATCTACAAATAAGTCAACACTGCCAAAATTGTCTTTCGACTCTTTATAGGAATTACTGCCATTGAGGACGATCTTAATGCCTTTGTGTTTTTTTTCGGGAACAATTGTTGATAGAGTTATTGCCCTTAAATTAGATTTATACCTATTTGTGTGTTTTTGTTGTTGTTGCTGAAACTATCGGAGATAAACTGGAAACGTAAAAGACCAAAACGTTGATAAAACTTGTCTTACCTCCATGTCCCCGCAGATAAATCCCCGAATAAAATTGTTTTTGTGTGTAAATCACATTCGTAAAATGCTCAATAACGAAATCAGGCATTGACAATTCACGTGGAAACACTTTATATACGCTAACGACACTTACCAAAGAGGAAATCTGGAACAATCATAGGTGTATTCTACGTTCCTTTTGAATTTCAACCAAAGATGAGAACTTGATCTTCCTTCACTGTGCTGGATACCAAAATTATGGGTGTCCTTACACATAACATTATATTGCTGGGTCTGTCGAATGCCCCACGAAATATCTTTCCAAACTATAAACATCAATTTTATCAGCAGTCAAGTCCGGGTGTCAGAGTTACTGTGAACCTACCTAATCTAGGGACAGTGTGAATCAGACATGGATACTAAAAGACCAAAAGAACTTAAGTCTCTTTCCTCTTGCAATAGCATAAACAAATTTGATTTTCTACCCTTTACGCTAGTATCTTAGCTTACACGTTCTACTGTTAAGGTGATATTCCATCAATAATTAAAGCAAAGTTTGATGACTATGTGCAACGCATCTATCTCGTCGAAGTTAAAATACCGAAGAATACCAAAGACACAGCTACTAGTAAGCCTGCCTCATATCTTGACTCACATCTAGGGACGGTTGAGAACAAAACTTACGATGAAAGGGATGATTTCAGCTTTGTAATTGAGAAATTTCCATTTACTAGTATATTTGGCAACACTACAGATCACTACAGCAGCGCCTGTATATGGATTATACATCTCCCAGTTGATACGATATTCCAGAGCTTGCGTTTTCTATCATGATTTCCTTAAACTTGATAGAGGGTTGTTGCTTACAAGGAAGATATTGAACCAATTGTTCAAAGTGGTAAAGTTGAAGCTATTCCTTCGAAAGTTTGACGAACGCCATCACGAGTTGGTTGACCGTTATTGAATTTCTGTGTCACAGATGACCACTGATATGTTACAATTATCGTAACCACAATCCCGTCTTTTTTTCGTTGATAGTGACATCACAGAATTAGACTTATCATCGGATTTGTATTTTCATGAGCAAGACGAAGAGAGCCATATGTGGAATAGGAACTGCTTACCCTTCTGGTGCATCTGAGTTCATCATCGGTTTATATTGGGGTTCGTGTTGTTCAGTCTTTAGTTTTTTTTATATGAAGTGTTTGTTGACTTTTTCGTGTTTTCGTCGTTTATCTGTTTTTGCCATGGCGTTGTTAGTTTTTCTTCAAGCGATGAATTTTGAAATTTTCCGTTGGTTTCTTCATATTATTTATTGGCCTTGAAAGATGATAGATTCCCCCTTTTTTTTTGCTTTATTGTCAGAAACTATCATAAACATTCTTATTGCATTGTATTAATTTTTTTCAAAAATGCCAGGTTAGCAAACTTTTTCCTTAGAGCCTTAGTTTTCCGTATAAGAATATCTTTCTTCAAATTTTTGAAATCTCTCAGATTACCATTCAATATTTATTTCGTAAAAGTTAATTCATGTTACGCCCATCCCCATTTTTTTGAATAACAGATCATGTACATTCCAAGTTCTAATAATAACCCTTTTGTCCATCTGAAAGTTGCGTATAGACCATAATTGATATGGATATCTGGAAATAATTCAATGCAGCAAACTAAATTGCTGAATCTCCAAATCCAAGTATGTTTTTCAAAGTATTATTACAATTTAAGTAATTTTATACAATGTCGCGAGGTTTAACATGTTTGGGTGCGCTCGAGCCTTCCCTAACCTGGGACAGTGGTGTAACATCGCAACACACGAACAAAAAAACCAGTTGGAAAGGCACGAAGAACATAAAAACAAAAAAGAACCAAAAAAAAAAGCAAACCACAAAATACTGATATAAAAGAATGTATATATTTACATGAATCATTATCATTAATCATATTAAACACGTAAAAGAGCAAGCAATGATACAAATGACTGTTTCTTCTGGTTGACATGCTATGTCAACACTATTACATATATTGTTATAAACAAATAGACAAATAAACTATTTCATCATCAGACAAGTTAAAAAAAATCATCATTAAAGTATACCAATGAACATTACATGTCTTAATTCTTCAAAAGGGAAAATTTAAAGGTACATGTTTTTCATCTACAAAAATGTTGCAATTAAAACAAACTCTGTCATATAGGCTTTTCCTGTCAATGAGACCAGTTTCAATATTTGATGGTGCACACCTGGAAAAACCCCTACGATGACGTAATGGTAGTTTCAGTAGCAAGTAGTTCTCAGTGTTATGTTTACTTTAATAGTTAATATGTTCTCAATGTATATATGTTAAAAATCTTATAAAAACTCATCAAAGATACCCGACAAAAGAATCACTTAATTCTTATATCTACATTTTTATGCTTGAACCATTAATTAAATTACGAGTTAAATAAAACAATTGCTTGTATTCCTTTGCCTTGTAGTGACGTTGTAATGAGGAGCACGTGCTATCAATATTTGTCATTAATCTGGCATTTTATTGGGAAATGAAATATAATTTTGGAACGCCTCACGATTCTGCGAGATACTGAAGTTTGAAATTTGCATGTATCATGTAGAAACACATTTTTTTTAATTTTTCAATACTTTTCCGAAAAAATAACACGAGTTTCAAACAAAAAAAAATTATTTTCAAATGGGTTTTTGCAAAGTGTTCTCAAATTCAAACGCATTTAAGTTAGTCCCTGAAATGAAGGTGGACTGTGATAAAAATTTTGTTAATAATATAACTATCGGTAATAAAAAGCAGTAGACAATTACCTTGCCTATTTAAAGGCACACAGAAAAACACATACTGTTGATTTCTTGTTGCAATTTCAGCATTCTTGAAGAAGTGCACAATCGATTGCAAAAGAAAAATAGGGGTACATGTACTCAGTTTTAGCTAAAAATATAAAAACTAGTTTTTTTTAAATGCTGGAGATCTCATTTCCATTTGTTGTTGCTCAATTACGTCGCAGTGTAATCTAAATGCAAACTTTCCTATCAACGTAACCGATTTGATAAAGTTTATAGTTTTCCCGCGTTGTTTGGATGCTTAGCAACTTGCAAAAACAATGTGTCAAATTTTTATGCATTTTTATATATCTACCATTGCTAATATATCACATGCCCTTAATCAAATTTGTTCAAGTAAAAATAACTGTAATCGTTTTGCATTACTCTGACTGAATAAAATATACACTTGGGCTTTTTCCATTCGAAGCACTCATAACTACATAAAAAAGTCCTTAAATGATAAATAATCATCTTAATCATAATAAACTATATCATTTTTAAAAGTTTCAACATAAAATTTTTATTGTTATGTGCATTGGAATTTAACAATCTCATTAAAATCAAATCTTTCACTCTGCTCCTCATCAGATTGGCAATTTAACAAATTTTAAAAACTGTCCTTCCATTTTTGTAAAACTCAGTCCATATAATTTATAACATAACCATCATATTGCACAATCTCATTTGGCATTTTGGATTGTCTTTCATTTCCATTACCCATATTAACTATTTTACACCACAATTGTAAAAACACCCAAAGTAACTTATTTCAATCGAACTGAACAGAATTAAATAACAATGACGATGAAAAACAATAGAAAAACAAATGAAAAACAGCAGTCAAACTTTTTGCGATAATAAGTTAAACCAATATTTTGGTATTGGCACCGTTTTTCGATCTTTCATTGTCAAAATTAAAGCGACAGAAAATTAAATCATTACAGGTAATTAGCATTGTTAAGACATATTTTTGGGATGAATTATATATTATATCCTAGACAAATCACCTCTGAAAACACAGCAACACAATTTCAACCTTCTGCTATCAGTACTTGTGTCATAAAGTCTGTTGTATATATCATTTTATTCTGGTATCACCTAACCTGAACAAAGGTATGCAGAAAAAACATTTTATTTTACATTATTGCGTTGTACATTTGTTGAGGAAACATATAATATGAGTTACATTATAACGGTATCAGGAGCAGCACAGCCGACAGGTTAACATCATAGAGAATCCAGTTTGTCAGTTTGTTGAACTGAACTGTGATCTATTAAAATTAATAGTTATATTGGCAAAATAATTAGAACCTTTAAAAAAGTTTCCCTTAATTGACTAACTCCAAAAACAATGAAAACAGAGCATCTCTGTATGATAGATTATCAATTATTAAACATATATCTAATAAGGAACATACATTTACAAAACAAATACTGTGGTAGTTAGTAGCAAGAATATACTCAGTTATTATACATGTCCTCTAATACATATTCCCACATTTATACACTCGTACGTAAAAAGATGCACAACAGTTTATCTTGACTATGCATCGCATCTTTGTTTTCATACTTAAGGCGAAAATTAAACAGACGTAAGATAACACTTTAAAATAAAAAGATATGTGCAAAGAAAACGTACGTACATCGGGGATGGGGTAATTTAAAATGTAATGGTAATTAAGTGTAATGCATTACAATTTTCCATGTAATGTATTGTAATGTGTAATTGAGCATTATTCAAATTACATGTAATGGTAATTTAATTAATTACAATGAAAAAAGCATGTAATACTAACTTACTTTTCAATTACATTTCAATACCATGTACTTTTATGGTGTTAATGATAAGAAATTATGTTAATATTGATTGTAAAATGATATTTATTTCACAAATATCAATATTCCAGGTACATTTTTTTTAATACACAAATCTGTGTTTTATTCTAAAGTTTTGATATTGTTTATTTGACATGCAGAAACGTCGTACATTAATGTATCATGAGTGGTACATTGAACATTTTTTGACGCTTTTAACTTTACACGTTTGTCAACAGAGACCTAAGCCTGTTATCTGGACGACTATGGTAATTGTATACAGGACAAATTTAGGAATAACACGTTTATATGTGTTAAAAAACAACTTTACACTACATCAAAAGAACCAAAGTCGAAGCTTTTGCCAAGCCATTTGGACTTCATCCATCTCAATAGGCCATTGAATTAGAAGAACATCTTTCCAAATAGTGGAAAATTCCTTTGGAATAATATCCAAAGGGATATCTCTTGTAATAACAACAATCTTCTGCAGGTTTTTGGAAAACTTTTCATACTTTGCTCGCTCGATTTCAAAACGAGTCCATTCATTTTGAACAATTGACGGCGTTACTAGAAATATTATGTGTCTGCATCTGTTAATGGACATAGCTCTTTCCGTAGCAATCGATTCGCCTACAATGAAATCTCTATCTTCAAAGCAAACTTTGAATCCCCATTCGTCCTCTACTTTCTCTTGCAATTCTTTCACAAAAGACACGCAGTCATCGGAATATGAAATGTAAACGTCATAATCAAAAGTTAGCTCGAGACCTTTCTCAGCAAATCTTCGGAAATTTCGAAAGAGAAAGAACATTATCCTCCATCTGAAATTGTATAATAGAGCAATACAAAGCACACTCGATAAAACAGAAACCAATAATGAAATGCCTAATTTGATCCAGACGGTAGTATCACAGTCGACGAAATAATGATGTAAGTCTTCAGCGACATTTCTTGTATAGTTGATACTTTTTCTTGAAGAAACCCAACAAGAATAATTACCATTTTTATCTAACTTTACTTGTGTTGTCGAAATCCATCTCAGGAATCTCGTTGTGTCACACGAACAAATTAATGGATTATTACTAAGATATAATTTAAAAGTTCCATGTTTTTTGTGCATGTTATCAATCCAATCCAGCATATTCTTTCCAATTGTTGTTAATTGATTGTACGACAAATCGAGTTCATCAAGGCTATAAAATGTTGTAACAACATCTGGAACAGTCTCAAGCAAATTATGAGATAGATTGAGCTGTTGTAGATTAAGAAGTTGCCCAAAAGAATTGGCTTTCATTTTCCAGATATAATTATAAGATATATCCAAGTTGATTATATTGGGACAAAACTTTAATATTGTTGTATTAGTTTGTAAAACATTGATCAAGTTTGTTTCTTTCAAAATAAGTGTTTTAAGATGGATTAAAAATGGAATTTTTGCCTCTCCAATAGTTTTTACTGAACTTATACCCGACAAATCCAAATGATCCAAACAGTTAAATCCTTCCATAGTTATAAGTGGAAAGAAATCTGTTTCAAAGTAAGAAATTTCAAGGTGACGAAGGTAGCTATTTTTTGCTTTTATTTCTAGAAAGGAACCTTCAGCCATCATATGAGTCATTCTAAAAAAATGAAGTTGACTCGGAAGTAATACTGTCATTGAATTATGCTGTCTTGCCCATTTACCTTGAACTTGTTCAACTCTTGTAAAGTTATCCTTTGTTATTACGTTAAGGAAAATTGGATTCTTGAATCCTAACGGAAAATATGAAAAATCTATTATTTTGATGTTGGTCATCTTGAACGTAAACAAAACGAAATCAACTTCCCAGCTATCCACACTAAAACTATTAGCAGATATCATAACAGCTTCAAAGCACTCTGGACGTTGAAACAAAACTAACGATTTGTTTTTAACTAATATAATGTTATTTGCGGATAAGTCCATTGTTTTTATACAGATAGTATATGTATATTTCATCATCTCTGGTGTAAGAATAACTGGATCAATTCTATGTTTTGAATCTGGGCGAGTTATTCCGCGAAAAAGAAGAGCATCCATTGTTTTGTTCTGAAATGGATGTAAAATGTTTAGGGCCTGTGTTAAATGAATATTGCTGTTAGTAAGATTTAGTACTTTAAGATGTGGAAACGGAACTAGAACGCCACCTTCAATGACAACAAAGTCTTTACAAGTTGTCATGTGGAATTCCTTTAAACTTACCGGCATTTCTAAAAATGTTTCATTGTTTAAATAATTTACGAGACAATAATCAAGACTCAATTTTTGTAAATTGTACAGTTTCTTGAAGTGCTGTCCAAACGTTGCATTTAACACAAGATCGATGCTCAGCTCACGCAAGTTACTGAGTCCGTCGACGGGAATTTTATACGGGTTGTAGCCTGGAGTTTTCATATTTCTACTTATGTCTAAAACTGATAAATTATTTAAGGACTCAAACACTCCATGAGGATACGATTCAGACACATTCAGATAATTTCTAGACAAAGACAAATGTCTCAATAATGATAAGCTACAGAAAGCCGTAGTATGCAACCATCTGATGTCATTATTATCAATTATTAGATATTCTAGATATTTATATCTATGAAACCCGTTGGCATCCAGTCTGGTCAGTCTATTATAACTTAAATCTAATTTCTTTATATCAGGTGGTAAATCCATCGGAACCGATGTAAATCCTTGATATTTACACAAAGCCTCTTTATAGCCCAACATATTTAGTGTGATATTGCATTTCGCAAACACAGTTCTATATGGACAAACACATGTAATACACACAACTATGAAGATCCACATATCATCCATTTACCAGTGAAAGCGATATCAATTCAAAGCTAAAATACGTCCTGCTATAATCAAATATTTAACTACTGACCCAAACTCATGTTGTCATGGTCGAAAAAGCGGCAATGATTTAAAAGTAAAACCGATCAAGTGTTAAAAATTGGGATTATTTACATATTATGAATACGATAACCTGTTTAATAAAAACTAAATACCCATACTATTTTTCAACACAATGATAAGACATTGAAATTTGAATATGTACACACCGGGGTATCATTTGTTTCCACTAGTGCGTCATACCGTTAAGTATAGTGATTTTGTCATGATTTAGTGCAGTAGGATATGATTTTGTTCAGTGTTTCTGCACGACAAACAATGAAAAAATGTAAACATCGGATTTTGTTCTAAATGAAGTTATGGAGATAAATTATTAATGAGCTTTGTTTATAGCTATTATGTTTGTAAATAAAAATTCTGCATCATATCGGTAATTATATGAAATACAAATATAACGCTTAGGAACGGCAATTTTTAAAAGTAAGGTTATTTGTTTTTCACACATAAGAAAATGTTCTGTTTTCTGCGTGTTACAACAAATTAAGTGTTATTACTTGCAATTGCTTTTAAATATCCAGAAAAAATCACCACTTTTGAAAAAAATTCAATATTTATAAATAGTGTCATGGTTTGGTTATGTCATATGAAACTTCAAATTTAAAAAAAAAGTTGAATATGTTTAATATACTTGAATGGCAAAGTTGTACTATAAAACAAGTGAACTTTCTTGTAAAAGAAAATCCTTATATTATCAAAGTCTTCATAAATGTACTACTACTGAATTATTGTCTTCCCGTACACTAATTCACCGATATTTTCCCGTATGCAGTGACCTTAACTACGAGACCTCTTATTAGAACTTCGGCCCCCGCACAGCGCAAGTGCCAGGGGGTAAACCGTGATGAAAATTGTAAACAAACGTGCACTGGAAGGTAAATAGTAATTGTTTGGTTCGTGTTCGCCATAATTCAGTTCTGTAATTCATACACGTGTATCATACATATGAAATAAATTAAGAGAGGTAGAAAAAAAAATGTGGTGCAATTATTCAAATAACTTTAAGTTTATAACGTTATTGAAAATACATGTATAAAATGACGACAAGGATAAACAAGTTTCAATGATATGGTTCTGTCTTGGAAAATGCCGGAATGTCTTTATGAAATTACGTATAATAAAGCTACTACTTTTTATTTCAGAATAAAGTTCTGCTGTTAATGTTATGAGCAGACAAATGTAGATTAATTTTCATTTCTATGACACCTTACTTTACTATGGAGATCAATTCCTCCGAATTAAACAGACAAAAAAGATGACACAATAAAAAAAGAAAATGTGGTATGATTGCCCATGATACATCAGAATGACGTGGATGTAAGCAACTATACGTCACTGTTATGCTTTTAACAATGATCAAAACCATTACCATATAGTAACTATAAAAAGTCCCAACATGAAAACATGTGAAACAGTTCAATTATGAAAACAAACGACAAGACAAGACTGGTTATATATCACAGCTTCATCGCATCATTCCTCATATCGTAATAACTATATAAAAGAAAGAAAATTAGATATACCAAGGAGATGCTAAACATGTACAGAAAACTATTCGGAAAAAACTTTCGACGAATACTTTTATTTAGCATTTAGGTTTAATGACATATGATACAGTAGCAAGAGCAGATACTAATGCATCCAAATTTAACGCGTGGTTTTCATAACGTCGCTAAAGAAAAGCATTCAAAATTCGCGGAAATATCACTAACGTCATCAAATCGGTTACGTGGTTTTGACAGTATTTGGAAAGGAAAAAGAAACTAATGTTTATCTAAGCACCCAAAATCTACTACGGAGCATCAAAGTCGATGCAAATGGTAATTGTTACTTTTTTTATCATAAATAATTTCGTATATGACAGTAATTTGTATAGAGTTTTAATGTACGGTGGGGATTATTGCACGACGATCTTGCATTAAGAATACACTGCGACGTAATTCAGCGCCAAAAAAAGAGAATGGGATCGCAAGCTAAAAAAAAAAAAAAGAACACCAGGACCCTATTTTCTTCTTTTGCACTCGATTATGTACGGCTTTAAGAATGTTATATCGAAATTGCAAGAAAAAATCACCGGTAGATTTTTTTATGAATGCATTTGTATTCACATTACATAAACTGCCTGATAACGAAAGAAGTAATTGGCTATTCACTTGGAAACTCAACATATAAGTCCACGACACTTATCAAAGAGGAAATTCGATCAATAATAGGTCCTTCCTATTTTCCTTTTAAATTTCAACCAAAGATGAAGAACTCTTCCTTCACTGTACTGGATACCCAAATTGAGTGCCCTTTCCCACAACGTTATATTGCTGGGTTTGTCAAACTATTCACATAAATTGTATCAAAGCCGGGTTTCAGAGTTACTGTGAAACTACCTATTCCAGGGAGGTGTGTGTAAATCCGATGTGGATACTTAAAAATCGAAAGATGTGTTAGGATATTAAAAATCTAAGTCTCTTTCCTCTTGCAATAGAATCAAAACATCGTCTTCCCTATAATTTACACTAGTATACCCAATTCTAAACTTAAAGACTGAAAGAACTAATCCAACTTTGTTTCATAAAAAAGAATAGTCAACGTATATACAAAAAATATTGTTTAAGGAAGGGATAAATCATGATTTGTAAAGAAAGAAACCACTCTAATTCAAACAATAAATTATGTGAAACTGACATAATCTAGATGCTTTGTATTTAATTAACAACATATTTGTTGCGTTTGGATGACGTGTTTTTCAACAAACAATCGGCATTCGTATGGGAACCTATTGTATTGCTCGACTTATACTTTTATTCATATGAGAGACAGACTTTATACAGGAGCTTGATAGGAGGAATGAAAGGAAGCTAGCTTTATCCTTTAACTTTAGATGATGTACTATTAATAAATAAGGAAAATTTTGTGACTATCTTGAACGCATCTATTTCGTCGAACTTGAAATAAAAGATACCAGAGATTAGTCTGCCTTATATCTTGACTTACATTTAAGGGTCGGTTGATAAAATTTTACAAAAAAGGGATGATTTCAGCTTTCGATTTTCATTTTTATTTACATTACAACAACGCCTGTATATGGAGTATATATCTCCCTGTTGATATGATATTCCGTAGCTTGTGTTTCCTATCATGATTTCTTTGATAGAGGCTTACTGTTCAGAAGGAAGCTGTTGAACCAATGGTTCAAAGTGGTAAAGTTGAAGACGGACGCTATCACGAGTTGGTCGACCGTTATGGAATATATGTACTACAGATAACAACGGATATGTCTTAACTGTCGTAACCACAATCTCATATTTTTGTCCTTAATGGTGACATCACTGAATTAGACTTATTACCGGATTTGTACCTGCACGAACGCGATGAGTGCCTTATGCGTAGCAGGCACTGCTTACCCTTCCGGTGCACATGAGATCACACTGGTTTTTAGTTGGGTTCGTGTTGTTCAATCTCTAGCTTTTAAAAAAAAATTGTATACAGTGACTGTGGACCGTCTTTTATGCGCTCTCAGCTTTTCTGAAACCGATGAGTTTTGAATGTCCACATGGTAACTTCTTTCTCTTTATTTGAATTAAATGATTTAAAAGCATTGACATTTTTTTTCTCATATTTTTTGCTTTACTGTTAGAAACTATCAGAAACATTATTATTGCATTGTATTACTTTTATTAAAAAATTCCAGGTTAGCAATATACGTTCCTTATAGCCTTAGTTTTCAGAATAAAATGTTTAGAATACCTTTTTTCTAGTTCTTGAAATCCCATCGATTGCCATTAATCTACTAGTATTATATATTGTCCTTAGGTATGACCAAAAATTAAATAATGCGTGCGAGTAACCCCCATTCCAATTTTTAAAGTACAGATCCACTACTTTCCAAAATATAATACTACAAGTAATAACTTGACCAATTTCCCTTTTGTGCATCTGAATGAATATCAGGAAATAATTTTTTTTTATAAAGAAGCAAATCAAATAGGTGAATCTCTAAAGTGTTATTTAAATCTAAGTAACTTTACAGCACTCGATCCTTTCCTAATCTGGGACAGTAGTGTAACAACACAACACGCGAAAAACACTGTAAACAGCAGTTGGAAAGGTGGGGAACCTCCCCCCAATCATCATTAGAATAAAGTATATCAATGACATGTTTTAAATCTTCATAACGGAAATGTTAGAGTTAATGTTTTTCATCTTCTAAAATGTTGCAATTAAAACAAAATCTGTCAGATTGACCATTCCTTCTCTAGCCACCAGTTTCAATTTTTAATGGTGCAAACTTGGAAAAACCTGTACGATGACTTAGTCGTATGTTCGATATCAAGTATGATCAGTGTTAAAGTGTACTTAATGTGTTATTCTACTATATATGATAAATTTATTTCCTTTAGGTAAATTATCACTTATATTACAATTTCTTTCACAGTCGTGTGATTTTAACACCTCCGTCCCTTAATGGCAGCTATGGTTTTATTTACAACTATCTTTCTTTACAGACCTTTTAAACTTGAAACTTAAACCGACTGCTTTCCGTTTTTGTACAGTATTTAAAAATATTTGTTTACTGCTTTACACCTAGCGGTTTCTCATCCGTATCATCGAACACAGCATTATTAGAGATATATCAAATAACGCCCTTGTAAAATATCATGGCGCAATTCTGCACTGTCATGATTCATACAAAATCTAGAGTGTCAAAGCCGAGCCATAATTAGTGACATTTCAAACTATGATATTAAATTCGTTCATGTAAATATAGTGTTGGAAACCACAATTGAGGGGGTAGTAGTATATAGGAAGTTAAAAAAAGTCGGGATGTGAAATAATGGGAGCAAAAAATGACGGAAAAAATGACATAAAAACAGGATTTGGGAAATGGTAGCACCCCGTGTCACACCCTCACAATGAGATTTATATTTAATGATAAGTAAACCTAATTTCGACCTGGCTCAA